TACAGATTCTTACAAGCACCTATCGAATGGTAGACCGCAAAACGCAAAAAAATTAAAGGTTACACGCTACAAGGCAGAAACTGGGTTAATCATCAGGAAATTATCGGGAAAAAAGCTGCCCAATCTTTATACAGTGTATAATACGTTGTTACACAAATCCAGAAATTCTACGAATATGCCAGAAAAAGATTGCAAGCACAATTTATGTGTATTAAAATGAGTTTGTAAAAATTCACCAAGTTGCGACCAGCTCATTGTGTCTTTGGCGGCAGCCACAATGTTTGTGTGTAAAAAAATCAGCAAAATATAAAATTAAAAATCTATTGATTGAGAGTGGCAGTTCATTTATTGAATAACAAAATATTGTTTTGGAATACAATTTTGGGAATATCTAAAGATGATATGATTTTAGGACGGTTGGTGTGCTCGGTACAAAATAAAGTTTAATTGTTCCAAGAATTTGATTTTAGTGTCAAATGCGAGTGGCATTTTTGTGATTGCAATTTGGCATTAAACATTAAAACAATAAAATCTGTAATTATTGCGTACTCTGTGGGGGTTTTCGAGTTATGAGGGGTTTAAAAATTAAACTATATTTTCTTTATTTTAATTTTTTAAGAATATTTTTTTTAAAGGATTTACCACTATTTTAGAATTCACCCTGTATATGCATTTGTAAATAAACAAGACTAATTTTACCTTGTGCGTTTTTCGTCCACCACATAAATTGTAACTCAATAAACAATTTTACTAGCGCGTAAGCTCCAAACACGCGCCGGGAGTTGAAAAATATAGTCGCGCGCGCGGCTTCTCTTAGGATTTTAGTTAAACTATTATAATAATATCTTTTTTCGACTGAAGTCGACTTTTAAGGGTACAATGTTCCTACGTATTTTCTTCAGATTCTTGGGGGACCCAGATCAATTAAAAATAGATTTTTTATAAATAATTAGTTTAAAAAAATATATTTAATAATTAAATGTACTAATTAATTCTTTCATTTAAGCCCGGTTCCGTCCAATCAGCCGATACATTCAAAAGTTATGGAACCTTTTTGAAAAAGTTACCTCAAAATTCAATTGTTTATAAATTTCGCAGTTGGTATTTTTTAAAAATACAACTTTTTGTCTCGAGTTGTTTTCGTATACCTCGTTTTCGACAGAAGAAATAAAAACAATATTGACAAAACGCATATTTTGCACTACCTCTTATTATATTTTGATAAATTAAGCCGTTTTGGAGAAAATGGACAAAACGTATAAATAACGTTGCTAAATTTAAACAAAATCGGCCCAACTATATTTAAGATATTTTACAAGACGTTTTTTTATGTTTAACATCTTAAAACTATGCTTTTCCGGTGGTCCTACGTTTATATGAACATTTTTTATATTTTTGGATGACGAATTTCCAGCCAAGCATTGGCGCATGTTTTCTAAAAACGCTGTATATAAAGGGTGTTTTTTTAAGAATGATAGAACATCATGCAATTGCTTTGGAATCAGCCGTCATTTTGAGCGCTATTAGTGACATTTGTATTTAGTATAGTGTGGCAAATCATTATGTATAGACTCACTCTTAAACAACGTGTACAAATTATCAAAATTTACTTCGAAAGTAAAAACATAACAAATTGGTAGTATTGAAGCTTAGACAAGAGTTGTTTGTGATCAATTATATCAAAATCAGTGTAAGGTTATCTATTGCTTTGTAATGTTTTCTGAATCCCGATTGAATGGCAAGATATACATATTGGCATAATCAACAATTTGCAAGATGTATTTTCTGACTATTCGTGCCATAAACTTTAAAGTATCATAAATAAGTTTGTTATTATTAAGACAATTTAACTTTTTATTTTCAAAACGTCATTGGAAAATTGTGTTCAATCCTTTTACATAAATGAATATTCTTAAGAAATAAAGAAAATATATATAATTTTTAAACCCTTACAACCTAAAAAATACTCGTCTGAAAATAAATTGTAATCTTTTAAACTACATCGTGACATACCATACCATATAATTGATAAACCATTAACGTAGTATTGAGTATGAGTATAAGAGACGTATATCCTGCCCCATTGCCTCATCGCTCCCGGACCCCGCATACGTCTCAGTTTCCTTGCGCCAATTTTCTTTCGCCACCAGCAACGGCGCGGCTTCACCCGTGTTTGGTGGTTGCGAATGTCCATTGCGTCCCGTACTGTCGCCTAATTAGGGCTCGAGAGCGAAATGCCAATACTTTTAGTAGCCATTCCCGGGTTCGCAAAGCCGATGCTATACTTACACCCAGAAGGGTCATGAAGAAGGTAGGACGGGAGGGATAGACAGTTTGGTGTTTGGGGGACAATTACTCCGACTCAAATCTAATTACGACGCGGGATCCCCCTAGACCGGGAAGTTAGTATTACTCCAAACATTTGGGATTACTGTTTGGAGTTGGGGAGTTGTTAGTTCCCTGCAGGGGCCTAGTTTACTGGTCGTGGTCAACGTCTTGACCGTTATTGTCTCTGTCCGTGTCGGGTTGTTCCTGCACTGTGTCGGCTGTTTTCTTTCGCGTTGCAATCCTATCTTTGTATTAAACAGTTGGTGTGTAATTTATGCGATTTGACAGTTACCGGTGGGAGGTATTTTTGAATTCCACTGTATACTAATGTAATTACCAATTCCCTTAGAATTTGGTTTGTGTGTTTATATTGTGTTTATCGTTTTCTTTATTTAATGTTCGTTTTTATTTAAAATGTTTATTTGGTATCGTTTCGTTTTAAGTTTTTTGTTGGGCCGTTTTCATTAATTTATGGGTTTAGTCTTTGTCGTTTGTTATTGATAGATTTATTGTCCTATTCAGCTTTCCTGTGACCGAGTTAAGAGTTGGGGCGGTTTTGTTTTTTTGTTGTTTTGTTACTATTGTCTTAATGTTACTGGTGGACTTTGATTATTTTATTTTTTTTGTTATTTTTTTGGTTAGTTTTTCTCATGTTTAACGAAAAGTGCCTCATTTAGGGTTTTTCAAGGTACCTGTCATGGTGGCAAATAATATTAGGTCATGCAGATGTTTAAGGTTACTTATCGAGAGTTGCAAATTGGCCTTTCCTCCCTTGGTTATCCTCTTTTGTTTGTCTCGTGAAAAGCATCCAAATGCGTGGCTAGAACGCGGTCGACCACCACCCGCAAGGTGTCACTCTACACCTCAACTTCAACACTTCCCTGACCTAAGGGTGGTCTACACACACTAGTTGCCACACTACACACTATTTGCACTTTATAAGCAATCATTGCGAGCTTTGCTGTTTGTAAGTTTCAAGAGCGCGATACGGCCAGATGCGACTAACTTAGACGAGTACTCGAACGTCACTGATAAACCATTAACGTAGGATTATACAATATATATAGTATATATACAGGGTGTTATGTAATTAATGTTATATATTAAAATACTGAATACCTTTTGACATAAGGAATAAAGGAAAAATATTTAAAAAAACATTTTTCCAAAGATAAAGAAAAAATATGCATTAGAAGTTTTTTATATTTTTTGTGATACGCCACTGGTTACACACTTGGTTTATCTCTGCACACTTGTATTTTGTGAGTACATAGATACCAACCAACAAAGTAGCTATGCGTTGCCAGATGTAAAAAATTGTTACTAAAAATTTTTCTTGCAAAAAATAAATAAAAACTCAATAAATACAAAAGTTTTATGCCCTTAAAGCTCTAATACCCTTCTGTATTTATTTACTGATCCAGATATTAGCTTAAGCAATGATTAGAAAATTTAGTACCTTTAAAATTTGAAATCCATAACCACAAAATTAATTTTTTCATCAGTTTTTTTCTGTTTACTCAGATGAAATTTGGACCAGTTCACAGGTTAAACTTTAAACATTTAATTTGTGTAAATAAATCCAAATGCACTTCCCTTAGTTAAGATATTTACAATTTGAAAACATAACCTAAAATTTAAAAGAAATGCACTAGATTCTGTCATAAAAGTAGGAGGATTTTGTTTGAATTTACCTTCAGTACAAAAATGACATAACCAACAATTAATAAAAACGCCAAATTGACAATTTGCATTGTTAATTTTGTCATTTTTGTAATTAAGCTAAATTTAAACAATGTTTGTCAACTTTTTTGAGAGATTTTGCAAACACTGTTGTTACCAACCATAACATAATAAATCCACCAGATTAACCTAAAGTTCCTACACTCAAAAAAATATTTAGTAAATTTACACATCTGATCGTTGGTTATTTTGATGCCACGTATTTAAATGTATATGTACAAACATACTGTAAAACTACATATAATGTGTAAAAATGCAAAGGTCATGTAAATCTAAAATTTAGGAAAATAATAGTACAAGTACATTAAAAATTGTAAAAGCACATAAATTTAAGGATTTATTACATAATAATATGAAAAACTACATATTAATTTAAAAAAATACATAAATTGATGCTATTTTACTTATGTAAGTATGTGTGTACATGTTTTATATGGAACAACACATTTCTTAAGTAAAAAAACAGAAATAAATGTGTGTTTGGATGTGTAAAATTTCGTAAATTTTTTTCAGTGTAGTCGATCAGTGGCGTACTTTTTGGTAGGATAAAGGTTATTATAAATTATTTTTAGACTTTGGAATTTAGAAAAAAAAGTTTCAGGTGCTTCTTTATGGACCCTAAGGAACAACCCATTTGAATATATAACATTAATTACATAACACCCTATATATATATATATATATATATATATATATATATATATATATTTATTAATGGTTTTTCGGGATCTGCTCCGTGTTGTCGGTTTTTGGTTCTTAAAAGAACCGTATGTCTGACGACGTTTCGGTACAATCTCGCATCAGAGCAGCAACAGCAGCCCAGCAGATAAGACCTGAAGATGGTATATGAGATTGTACCGAAACGTCGTCAGTCATACATATAACGACTGGGATTAACCATTAAAGCTTTATTTGTTTATTGTGTATAGGTGGAGATGATGGTTTTATTCATATATGGGACTTAAGAAAATTTCAAGACAAAATTCCTCTTGCTACATTTAAACATCACTTAGAAGCAGTTACCACTGTTGAATGGCATCCAACTGATTCAGCAGTATTTGCTTCTGGTGGTTCTGATAATCAAATCGCACTGTGGGATTTATCAGTCGAAAAAGACAATGAAGAGGCTGAAGATGTTAAGGTAATTTTTAATTGCATTTTAGTTAGAAAAAAGGTTAAAACTAAAAGAACATTCAGTATTAAAATGTATGTATATTTATTATAATATATATTATGTTGATGTACATTTGTAATTAATTTGATTATTTTTTGTATAGGAAGTTCCACCTCAACTTTTATTTATCCATCAAGGGCAAAAAGATATTAAAGAACTTCATTGGCATCCTCAACTTCCTGGTGTTATAATTAGCACAGCAGAAAGTGGATTTAATATTTTTAAAACAATAAGTGTATAATATGTTTAATAAATATAATTTACACAAAAGTTTTTAATTTAATTTATGTATTAAATCCAAATTAATTAAATGCCGCATAGTTGGTCTTCCATGAGGACAATTCTGTAAAATAAAATTGAAATTTATGAAACAATTATACAGGGTAATTTATTGACAAGAGCGTCACCAGGGGCAAGATGATAGATATGAATTGTAGGTTAAATAAATACAATTTGTAGTGTCCGACTAAAGCCTCGGCTAATTATCATAGAATTAAAACAAAATGGCCGGTTATCTTTTTTTTATTTAAAAAAATACTTTATCAATTTAAATCCGCTTAAATAAATGAATTTAAATATTTTTTTTAACAAAAATGGATCCGTCAAAATATTTTCTTGTCCTGCGATTTATTTTAGAAAAAAGTTAAATACTTTCAAACCGTAACTGGTAGGAATTATAAATCGGACAATAAGTGACTTGGAATTTTTTCGATTCCCTTGGCGACGCCCATGTTTTATCAATAATGAGAAAAGAACATGATGAGATTCTCTGCCTGAAAATAAGAGAAGAACTTCCCCTATGATTTGTTTTACAATGGAAAGACGTAAAGATTTTATGAGGTTAACAGTATGCGATACCGATATATCGGTTTTTCCTATACCGATATATAGGCGATTTATTTTTATCTGCTGATCTAACTTTATGAAAAAAATCATGTTAAAAAGTTAAAAATAATAAAGGAGCAAAGCAAAGTAAAAATCAAAAAAGTAAAAAAAACAACTTTTGTTTGTGTTTAAGTCAACCTATACTGGTACTTTTTTTTTAAACAAAACATAAAACAAAAAAGTGTCAAAAAAAATTCAATGGTGACAGATTTGCGATAATTTGTACCACCAGGGCCGAATTTTCGAACAGGCAACGTAGGTACCTGCCTAGGGCGGCAAGAACATTTATTAGTTTAAAAAACTCAAATGCTCAATTCCTTATCAACCGTTAAACAGATTATAAAAATTTAAATAGCATCGAGAATCGACATACCTTTTAAGTGAGGTATCACAAGCCCCCTTTTGAAATTTACTACTGCTCCCTTGGCATTCTTAAATAGGCACATATCGATTTGACGTCAAAAAATAGTTTAACTTAATATTCTTGACTATGTTTTTTGTCTGCCACGTCGATACCTTTTTTCGTTCAAAAGATATATATAAATTACGGTGTTTCAAAAAAACTTAAATTATTTTTTTTTCTAATGGTGTTGAAAAATTAATAATACATTAAAAAACAAAAATTTTAGCGCATATTTGAGCCCTTAATATTAATATTAAGGTTTGCCTCAATTCATTTGTTGTTTTTCCATTTCAATAACACGGGAATTTTTAAATTTTGAATTCTTATAACTTTGGAATGGTTTGTTTTCGCAACACCCAAGCGAGAGTAGTTATAGACAATTTCACGCTTTACAAAAAACATCTGAAGGTCAAAGTTCTTCAGGTCAACCGTTTCAAAGATATCAGCGATCAAAAATAACACTAATAAAAAATTTCAAATATTTTCAAATAAAATACAAAAAAATATCCTATGCCATATTTATATTATTTTTTATGTAAAATCACTTTAATTCTGTTAACCTGAGACTGTAAACTTTTTTTTTATGTATATATGACATATTATATGTATATGTAATATACATATATATACATATTATGTATATATATGTATAATATACATTGTATGTACCTATATATAAATAAAAAAAGTTTACAGTCTCAGGTTGACAAAATTAAAGTGATTTTACATAAAAAATAGTATAAATATGGCATATATTTTTTTGGATTTTATTTGAAAATATTTGAAATTTTTTATTAGTGTTATGTTTCATCGCTGATATCTTTGAAACAGTTGACCTGAAGAACTTTGACCTTCAGATGTTTTTTGTAGAGCGTGAAAATGTCTATAACTCCTCTCGCTTGGGTGTTGCGAAAACAAACCATTCCAAAATTATAAGAATTCAAAATTTAAAAAATAAAAATTCCTGTGTTATTGAAATGGAAAAACAACAAATGAATTGAGGCAAACCTTAATAATAATATTAAGGGCTCATATATGCGCCAAAGTTTTTGTTTTTTAATGTACTATTAATTTTTCAACACCATTAAAAAAAAAATTAATTTTATTTTTTTTTTAAACACCCTAATATATATATATAGATAGAAATATTATTTATAATAATTTTTGTTTGAAATGTAGTCACTTTTACAAACCTTTTTTAGAAAGATTTAGTATAAAGAAAATCACAACAAAAGTCAATAGATTAGTCTACATTAATTGGTATAAATCAGCGATACTCAAACTGCGGCCTGCCAACCCTTTCTTTGCGGCCCATAGCCTAGACACTTTTTTTACACAGCCTTGTGAGATAAAGAAGGGCTATATGTTTTCTATAATATGACGAGATTTTTATTGCTCGTAGACCGGCCAAGTACAGTGTAATCTTTCCAACTTTGACTGTGACGAGTTTAAAACATGGCTTTAGACGAACCCCTTTAATACGTTTTTGTAAGAAATGGTGCACTATGGGAATTTAAAGCCGCGGGACGCGATATTTGTTAATCATGCCTTGTATAAAATCACTGGCACTTACAGACCGCCACTGTGAGACAACTTGCTTCATTGGGATTTGACAATGCAGTTATTGAATAAATGTATTGAATTTAAAACCGACTCAAATTTGGGAGCAATTTTTAAACAAAAAAAAAAGTAAAAGGATAGAAAGAATTTTAAAAAGTAGTAAGGTGTACCTGGTACCCGATAACTTTGAAATGCTGAAATGAAATATTGGACGCAATCCAAGGAAAGGGAGCTACCATGACATGGTTATTATTTTTTTAAGTCGAGCTTCACTACTCAAACGCCTATCCCGCCCGAACTTCAATCGCCTTATGTTAAATTTGATTTTTGGATGCTAGGTTTGTTTTTTCGGATCACATATGCAATGCGTAGGTACAGATGTCGGCTAACTAATTCACACCTTCACGACGCACATACAGGTATTTGCACGATCTGGGCGGCCAAAATTATTTGTATGCTTAAATGGTATCTTAACCATTCCAATAGATGAATTAACTTGTTTTTAACAAAAAAAATACTTATTTACAATACTTTTACTAAACGGCACAATGGATTATTAAGAAAAATATGCTTAGTCAGATTCTTAGAATAATTGTAATTGTAATTGTAATAAGTGTAATTATTACACTTTACATTTTCCTACACACACAACACAGTACAATTAACCCAACGTAATAAGCATTCAGCATTTTTTAATTAACTTAGTTAATTTCGTCATCGCTATCTCATGAATTATCGCTCTTGTATGGATATTCAGATGTGAACATTGATATTGCTTGTGGCAAGAACGTGTTAGCTTTTCTTTTCTATATTGTTCTCATGTTTCTCAACATAGGATCTGAACTAAGAAAAAGGCGATTAAATTTGTCCCTATTGCAGTTTTCTCGAAAAAATGTTCTTGCAAAGTTTTTTCGATAACTCCTGAAATGCTTATTACGAGCTTCAGCTGCCTCCTCTGAAAGCTGACCAATAGGTAACAATGCGTTTTCAATATATTTCTGCCCCATAAACTAAAATCTTGTGAAATGGTGGAGTCATAGGATGCCATGGGTACAGGTTAACATATACGTTAACGTACCTTCACATGAGAATAGTTGATCCTTTAGACAGTTTAGTTTAGCATCAATATAAGACACATCCGCGCTCTCCATGCCATTAAACAAGTGTTTTCGAGTTACTCTCCTTACTTCCGAAACACCTGGTACACCAAAGACAAACATACACTTTGAAAAATGGCAAAAATAAAAAAAAATAATATTATTTATAATAAAAATAATATTATTTATTTTTTCGATTTTTTTGTCCAAAATCTTTGAAGTATCAAAAAAACAAGTTATCCGGAATTTTCCGGGCAATCTTTTGGTGTTATTTATTAAAAGGAAGGGTAAATATTACATAAAAATTAAAACCATAGCTTGATCTAGCTTGATATCATAACAAATTCCTTCGTGAAAGAAAAAAAATCATTAAAACTAGTCTAAGAAAAAGAGTTCACTTTCAATAATTAAAAATTTCTATTTAAATAAGTTATTTATATTTATTATATGATAATTTGTACGTTTATTACCTGGTGTATTAGGATCCATTAATTTTAACTTGTTAGATTAACTTGCGGTGCAAATATTCACATAAAAAACAGGTTGTCTTATAGGCACGCTAAAAATTGATATGTACTCTAGGTTAGACATTTAAATTCAGACTAATCATACGTACGTGTGGTGCGCGGGAAAAGGGAGTAAGCGGTTGGATACGGTTCTCAGAAGCGTCGTCCAACGCAGGTTGTCTGTTTTAACTATGTCATTCAAACTTTGATAACAGGCATTTTGGCCGCCCAGATCTTAGAAATACCTGTATGTGCGACGTGTTAAGAGTAGCATGTAGCCGGATTTAACTTAAATTGTCAAAAGTTGTCCATACTTTCAACAATCAAGATGTCATTAATTTTGAAATAAATTATAATGTTTAAATGTTGAGTTTTATTGTAATATAGGTCATTGCGGCCCGCCTGATGTAGCAGTCATAGATATTTGGCCCAAGAAAAAAAAGTTTGAGCAAGGCTGGTATAAATGCTCAAGCATTTATTTATATTTCGAGTTAAAAATTGAACGTAAATGGATGTTATCAACAGTGATGTAACCGATACATTTTTTTCAGTATCTAGGTACCGATACAGATACTCTCTGGTAGATGTATCTGGGTACAGATACCGATACATTTTCCCAAAAGTATCTGGGTACAGATACAGATACAATCAAAAAGTATCTAAGTTACTTCCAGATACTATGTTAAAAAACTTAAAAATTAAATGACAAAAAAAATTTTTTGATAAAATTGACGAAATATCCATGAAAAACGGAAATAAATTTTATATTTACGCGCCATATGAAAGCTTACTACAAAATTTGTAG